ATTTTCTTTGAACCTGCTTCTCATCTGGAAGTTTATCAGGTAGCTGCAGCTGTATGTGCTTGGGTTTCCTATCTTAGGCTTCTGTGGTGTTGTGCTTGTTTGGATGCCCCCTGAGTTGGCCCCTTTGGTGTTTAGGGACTTGTTATTGGTGTTGGTGAACTCTACTTAGGCTAAATCTGCACCACCTCTTCCTTGCCCTGCATGGTTGGTTCATCCTGCTTCTAGTCTCTCCCCACCCCTTGGTTCCAGTTCTAAAGTGTCTGAGGGTTTCTTAGTCAGGTCATGGTTTAGCTAGGGGTGTAGTTCAACTTTCTCTCTGGGGATTGTTCCATCCACCTCAACAACAGAGGTAATTGAGCCTTTCCTTTGTGCCAGGGTAGACCCAAGTTTGGTAGAATGTGGCTCTGCACTGGGGTTATCATGGCTGGCTTTTGGGGCTGAAGGGGAGCCTAAGGAAGGTTCTTGGGTGCCATTCAACACTTCCTGGACACTGGTGCCTTTGTTGGAGGGTATTTTGCTCCAAGGCAATGATTTTCTTATTCCCTTCTATGTATGAATTTGATTCCTCTGCAGGTTTCCTTAGGGTCCTATTATCTGTGCCATTATGTGCTGCAGAGTTGTTGTATTTCTGGAGGTTTCTGTCTTCTTGCTTTTCACCATCGGTGACTTGCACGAACATTTTTCACATCCTGCAAAATTCGGACCTCATTTTCCTGATGGACCTGGCCTCATTCGAGTACAGGTCAGTCTCAATTTATTGGCTGTGGAATGTAGTGAAATGCCTCTTTCTGGTAGACCTTGGTGGCTCCTTGACTCCCTAGCAGATTCATCGGTTTGTTGTCCATCAGCCCCAAAGTGTGGGGTGGAGCGAGCATGGGTTAGGGCTCCAGGCTACCTGGTGGTGGCTATCAGTATTAATGGGTTGATGCACATTAGTGATTTGCTAGTTTCTCATGAATAGTTTTCCAGAGTCATTTGGCTGTTTGGTTTTTCATTTTCTATGAACTTTGTACAGGTAGTTGACTATAAAGCTTCACTGACTTTCTGGTTGCTTTCCTGGTGGGGTGCACATTAATAGGTCCCTCTCCCTGCACCTCTGTGAAGGAGCAGACATTAGCTCTGGTCTCCGGTAAGACAAACAGGACTCCTGTGACTGTGACCCAATAATGGAAAGCCATCTTGGCCGATAGCTTCAGGGAGCCAACGTGGCTCTTAACAAAAGAGAGACATTTCAATGCTGGTTTTATGAATCTTCTCGGCTAGGGAAGTTTGCAGCAATCATGACACAAATTCATTTTTAAAAGCTAGATTTTCACAGTATCACCTGAGCCTTAATAGACATTTGCCTTAATGATATATGTTGCTTTAGGTAAAAAGTATTGGATGTCAACCCATGCTACCTCTTTTGAATATATACTTGAGTAGAGAGTCATTGTTTTGTTGCATATTGATTATACTGTATAATTGCTGAATTTTATTTGATTTTAATGTGTAATATATACTGTGTGTGTATATATATATATATATATATATATATATATATATATATATATATATATATATATATATATATATATATATATATATATATATCTATATATATATACAGGGTATATATATATATATATATATATATATATATATATATATATATATATATATATATATATATATAGCCAGAACGCACTTCTCAGCCTACTATGCAAGGCCCGATTTGCCTAATAAGCCAAGTTTTCGTGAATTAATGTTTTTTCGACTACCTGACCTAACTTTTTCGGCTACCTAATCTAACCTAACCTATAAAGATAGGTTAGGTTAGGTTAGGTAGGGTTGGTTAGGTTCGGTCATATATCTACGTTAATTTTAACTCCAATAAAAAAAAATTGACCTCATACATAATGAAATGGGTAGCTTTATCTTTTCATAAGAAAATAGTTAGAGAAAATATATTAATTCAGGAAAACTTGGCTTATTAGGCAAATCGGGCCTTGCATAGTAGGCTGAGAAGTGCGTTCTGGCTACTAGGTACGACATAATATATATATATATATATATATATATATATATATATATATATATATATATATATATATATATATATATATATATATATAAATATATATATATATATATATATAGGTATATATATATATATATATATATATATATATATATGTATATGTATGTATATATATATATATATATATATATATATATATATATATATATATATATATATATATATATATATTCTGGCTATATACGACATATATATATATATATATATATATATATATATATATATATTACTGTATATACTCTTGTGTGTATATACATAAAATAATGGCAGTCAGCTGTATGGACTATAGATATTTGTGCTACTTTTTAATTTCTTTGAAACTTATTATATATGTTCAAGATTTCTCATTGCCCAAGAGAAAATTATAAGAATTTGACTTTTTTGTGTTTAGTATCTAGACATTCTTTGGTTTTCTATTGTTTAAATTATCTAGTTAGCAAGTTAAATTAGCTAGGTAGCAAGATACAGTACCTTGTACGTGAACCAAATATTTTGTAACATTTGATCAGAGGCTTATAATGCTAAAGGTGACAAATCTGCAGTAAATTGAATATTTTTGCTAACATGCCATCTGATAGGAAAAATTGCATATATATAATTACTAAAATTTTGAATAAAACATTTAATGTAGTATTAATCTTTATTACATGGAAGTTTATATATCCTTAAAGTAGGTTTATAGTTCTTAAAGTATTGTCAGCATAGTATGGTTGGTTTAACATTGTTAGGGACAGGGAAGCCTGTTCAACTTAATGAGGTTATGCCCCCCCCCCCCTTAGACCAACTACTGACCTTCCCCAAGATCTCCTCCAGAAGGGTGCTGTCTTCATATTATGATGGGGGGGGGGGCAGGGCTCTTGTGAGCTGCACCTCAGACAGGGTGCTCAAGCAAATACATCTTGTAACTAAGCTGCCCTATATTTTCCATCCATGGAGACCCTTATATTCCCCATTTTCCTTCATTCAGATGGTGAGCCTGCTCAATGGCTGCAGCTCCTGGGGGCAACTCAATTCTTTGGTGGAGGAATAGGGGGATATAATGTAAGTTCAGTGATTGATGCAGGGGGCCCAACTGTATCAATCGGCTAGTCTGGGTGGCGGGCCTGAGTATATAGTGAACAGAATACTCAAATAACGAAACTTTTTCCAGCCCCCACTTGTAATGTGGAGGTCATTGATCTTCATAAAACTGGAGATCTGACTCCTGATCACTTAAAATATCTTACTATGTGAGAGTTAGTGCAACTGGTCTATAATTCTTAGCCAATGCTCCGCTCCCTCCCTTGAGTAGGGTAGCTAGATCAGCCCTTTTTTATTATTGTGAAGGAAAGACCCAATATGTGTGTAGGTGTATTAAAATAAATTTTCTGATGTAACCTACATTCTTCTCAAGGTGCTTGATACAGTGTTGTATAGCAGAATATTGTATACAGTTCCTTGAGAAAGGATGTAGGTTACATAAGGATGAAAAACATAGGATTGAGGACTTGCCCGAAATGCTACGCATGTTAGGGGCTGTACAGGAATGTAGAACTCTTGTATATATAAATAAAAAAAAAGAAGAAAACATATGAACGTTGGGTTTTTAATACACTTGCTTATATATTGGGTCTTTCCTTCATCTTCATTCAGGCACTACAGCATTGTAGTAAGTTTCTAAATTATTCCACAAACTATGTGGAATAATCAAGCATACCTTTTACTTTAAGGAAAAGAAGGTAGTGATGCAATTGTACAAATTTCTAGTGCGCTCCCATTTGGATTACTGTATCCAAGCATGAAGACCTCATCTTCAGGAGGACACAGCTGCTCTGGAGAAAGTGCAACACTTGGGAACGAAAATCATTGCAGAGTTAAGTCATCTCTCGTATCAGGAATGGTTGAGGGCTACAGGGCTAACAACGTGGTTGATTCAGAAAATTTCTTCATAAGGTAAGATGTAACATAAACAAGGAGCAATGGTTTCAAGCCCAACAAGCCACAATGTAGGACTGAGAACAGGAGATGCTTTTTTACCCACAAGGTTACAAAACCATGGAACTGCCTACCCGCCAAAGCCGTAAATTCCAAATTGTTAAATTTTAAAGTCCAACTCGAAAAGATTGTAAAGGCAATTGGAGGGGACCTTCGACAAGCTGCTTGCTTCCTGTCCTCGTCGTGGCCACTAGTGTTAGTGGCCCTCGGGTAAATAATAATTAATATTATAATTTACCTGAGGGCCACCAGCACTAGGGTGCCTCGACAAGGACAGGAAACCGGCAGCTTGTCGAAGGTACTCTCTATTTATTTATTTATTATTTATTTATTTATTTATTTATATACAAGAATGTACATTGGGGGTTAACAGAGAACATAAAAATTAAGTTGATTTTACATTCTTGTAAAGCCACAACCAAAGAGCCAGAGCTCAATCCCCGCAAGCACAATTAGGTGAGTACTAGCAAACACAGCGTTTCGGGCATTAAACGCTAAAGTAATTATTATTATTATTATTATTATTATTATTATTAGCAGACTAACTAATAATATGTGTCCATTTTGCATTCTTTCGTGTATAATAGAGTAGCTGCGCATTGCTGTTTAGTTTTTAGTTTCGTTCATTTATTATGCACCCCATACCCATCCCTTGGGTGGTAGTGGAAAGGGTTACAGAGGCACATAATGGGCTCAGGGACTGAACACCACAATTCATTTAGCTAAGCAAGTTACAATCTTGATGAGCTAGTTACAAAATTCAGTATAAGTCGTCACATCAACAATGGGTTCCAGATCGACCACAAGTACAGTTTATAAATTAAGCAACTGACATATGGGAAGAGCTAGTGTCACAATTTATATGTTTGTCGTATATCTAAGCTCGTTAAAAAAAATAGAAATAAGGATGGTTTAGTAGCGCATTAAAAGAAAACGGGAAATTTATAACTGGAGGAGAAGCGAGCTGTTGATGCCCTCGCCACAACAACACAGCCGCCTCCGCCGTGTTTGTGTAGCAGCCTCAAGAATACAACTCTGTGTCACCTGTGTGTTGTGAAGAAAACTTTCTGTATTGGAACATTAAAAAGGACATACTCTTGAGAATAAGAAGCGAAGACATCCCAAGAGATGGATGGGAAGCGGAAGTCTGAATACTTGGCCATAGCCATTCAAGCCAAAAAGCCTCGACATGAAATGGTCGTACACACTGGAGAGAAAGGAGCTCTTGTTCAAAGTGTAAGGTCTATAAATGTCCTCATTAGCTTTACATTATGTGTTGGTAAAAAATATTCTATGGTTAGGTTATGCCTTTATAATTTGTATGTATATTTACCTGAATTTGTAAGTACAACAGTATGTGAAAAAGATCCTGGGAGGCATCCCAATAATGCCACAGCATTGTCGCACCTTGAACTGTGTGTGTGCAATTACCTGAATTTACCCAAGTGCTACCATGTCTAGTGTCTTCAACAGGGATAGGAAGCTGGTGACATGTCATAGGTATGGAAGACCTATTTTTTTTTTTTAAGTGATCTACTACTGTACATTAATGTCTTGGCATTTATAACTTCAGGGGGGGTAGGCAGTTCTATAAGTTGACATCCTATGGGTGAAAAAACATCCAATGTGTTCTGTTCTATATTGTGGCTTATTGAGCTTGAAGCCATTGCTCTTGGTATATGTTACATTTGACTATGTAAAGAAGCGGTCTGAATCAATATCATTCTGTATTGTAGATATATTGTACAGTATAACTCAAATTTAAAGTTTTAAATTCTTATCTTTATTACAGGGTCCCCCAAGAACCAGTGGTCTCATGTCGCCCATTATGCAGCTCTCTGGCCACCAGGGAGATATCTTATGTGGTAAATTCCACCCTGAGGGGGACGTCCTTGCTACTGCTGGCATGGACAGGCAAATACGTAAGTGTAGTTCATAAATATAAATTGTCTTCCCTACAAAAAATTTATAAATACTTTTCTGGGGAAGCCTCCGCTGAAGGTATCACAGTCAGTGTACCATCTATTAGGTTGTACCAGCCGCAGAGTTCTATTGGCCTACCTAGAAACAGTGTCAGAACATAGCTCCCTCACAGAGGCCCAAGGAGCAGTGGTATTTATTATTTATTGATACTACCACCGGAAAAGACAAGCAGAAAGTCACCGAAACAAAACAAACCACTGCTGGCTTCAATAGTGACCATAGCCTCAGAACCACTAAAAGAAGTCACCGAAACAAAACAAACCACTGCTGGCTTCAATAGTGACCATAGCCTCAGAACCACTGAAAGAATTCCCCCCAACAATGTAAACAAACAATTGCAATCTCTTGGTGCTAGCACAAGCCTATTTGCCCCACCTTCTCCATTTCTTCTGGGTTAGGAGAGGAGGTAGCTCATGGCCAAATAGTGTCTCTACCCTTAGTTCTATGCTGATGTAGGGTGTACCTAGTCACCTCACTTCTGCTTTGGCTTCATTGTTCTGCTCTTCAGCTAAGTGGTGGTTTTTGCCCTTGTGGCAGTTTCTGAACACTCTGGTGTAGCATGACCCAGGAGTTAAGAGTGCATGGAGCTGCTTGTGCACAGGGTTATCTTCCCTGTGTGCTCCTTAGTGCTGTGCTTGTGCTGGCAGCAATTTCTTTCCCTGGAGTATTCAGGGACCTCCTTGCTTATGGTGGACCTTGCCAGGGTTGAGTCAGGTGTCTTGATGTTCCTCTCTTTACTTGGGTCGGGAGTGACTTTGGCTGGCTAGGGATATATAGATTTGAACAACTACCTTTAACTAAAGGTCCAGCATAGTGTTCCAGTGCCTAGATGTTCTATTTAGTCAATTCCTTCAGACCCCTGGGAATTCCCTACAGATTTGGTGGTAGTGTGAATATTTCCCCGAACCACCTCTTACTTGCGAGATAGCGTCAGGGAGTCTCTTGGGAGGGAGTCTCAGAAATTGACATTTCATGACACTCAATGCTGGTTTCTTAAATACAGTGAACAATATGATTTGCATTCTTACAGTACAGTACAGTACTTGTAATATGTTGAAAGTGTTTATCTTTCCTTTTCAGTTTTTTGGAATGTTTATGGAGACTGTGATAACTTTGGAATGTTGACGGGCCACACAAATGCTATCACAGACATGCATTTCTCTACTGATGGGACAGTTTTGTATACAGCATCAGCAGACAAGACAGTCATGTGCTGGGATACTACTAGTGGTACACGTGTTAAAAAGCTTAAAGGTAAGGCCTTTTCTTAGTTCTGCGTATGTTTAATATTGTATTAGCTTTCAATTCCATTTCTTATATGATGGAACCATTTTTAGCTTCTAGAAATATAAAAGTAGTATGAAAGAGTTTTGTTTGTGACAAAGATAATGAACCTGTGTGGCTCAACAACTTTGTTACTGGTTTTAACTTTAACAGCCGAAATAACCCAGTAATATTATGTCATTATATTACTAAGTAATTTGGTTGTATTACCAGATAATTAGTTTGGAAATACAGTACAATAATGCCCTGTGGAACACAAGTGTTAATTGGTAGGGAGGTGGAGCATTGGTGGGAGAAGTAGTGTCATTAACAGAGACAGTGACAGGACTCAGTATGAGGCAGGATTGCGGGTATTGGAGGGAGTGACCTGACTCCACAGTGTTGCAGTATAAATAGAAGTTTATTGCTTAACAGTGCCAAAAGCCTTACGAAAGTTTATTTTGTCAAGAGCAGCATGTATCAAGTTAGTCATACTAATTAGTGAATATTTGATGCTTTTATGAGATCAGAGGTCATACTAGCAAGAGCTTAGAATATTATGCTTTGCTAGATAGGAGTAGAGCTGCTGGTAGATTAGCTTTTCTGATATTTTAGACAGGGTGGGCAGTTTTGATATTGGTCTGAAATTGCTGACTTTAGTGAGATCACCACTTTTATGGACTGGGATTACTCTTGCTTTTTTTTTTGGAAAGCCCTCTTGTGGCTCCCTGAAGCTACAATGCTGATCTCGTGCCAAACTACTAGGTGCCATCAGTTGCAGAGTTCTTTCAGGCCTAATGGGGAACCATGAGCCAGAATCTGGCCCCCCTAATGAGGCATATAGAGCAGTGGCACTATGATAAAATTGTCAGTGAATATGAATCAAGTTTGCCACAACCAGGGAAGCACCCACAAAGCCGGCACTTATTGTAGAGGCACAGAGAGGGAATGTACTCTTGTACAGTGCATCTGGCTCCAGTAAGAGTAACTGAATATGAGAGGTTATGACTATCAAATGTGGTCTTCAATACATGAATGGGTTTATGATGTTTAGTTTCCTTAGGAAGCAGGGGAGGTAAAATGCACAATTGTAACAGTCATCGGTGGAGTCACTCCAAGTGGCAAGTCAGTCACTACTGGGGACTAGTGAGACGTCCCTGTCAAGGAAGTGATTGGGGTATGGATAGGATCAGTTGGGTGAGCCAGTGATGAAATTGGGTCTGGGCTGAACGTAGCCAAAGCAGCAAAGCCCGGTCGTCAATCGCAATTTGGCTTGGGGTCCTGGTCACCCACTCCACGAGTCTGAAAAAGGTAATATGTAAAAGAAACATTCATTGGATTTCACTGCCCTGTACTCCCACCCACCACAGAGCCCAACAAGGGGAGATACAAACACACAACAGAAAAATCTCAGGGTTAACAAGAATATACACAGGCAACTGCAGGAGGGGTGATAGAAATAGCCTAAGCTACTCTATCCCTTAGAGGTGTATTTTCTTGTCTTGATAAACATACTTGAACTTGAACCACTGAAGGATCTGAATGACAGCTTGGTCTGACGGATACCAATACCGCCCGCAATGCACACAAATACTTTCAATTTGAGCTGAGATTTATTAGATCATGTCTTCATAATATAAATTTGTATTTTCAGGACACAGTAGTTTTGTTAATTGTGTGCATAGTGCACGGCGTGGTCCAAGTCTCATAGTGAGTGGTGGAGATGATTGTACTGTCTTAATCTGGGATGTGCGAAAAAAAAGACCAGCTACAACACTTCAGAATACGTTCCAGGTAGGAATCCTATGTGTTTCAAAGATAATTTGTTAAATTTTATTAATAAAAGTTTATAACTGATAAGGTAAAAAACTTTAATAGCTCTAATTTTTCTGCCTACCATAGCTTTTTCTGGAGGGAGACTCCTGTGGCTCCCTGAAGCTATCTTGTTGTGATTGCTACACATTAAAGGGTCACATATATCATGGAAGTTATGTTTGGCTTACTAGGGACCAGAGCCAGAACCTGGTCTCTCTCACAGAGGTGCAGGGAGCAGGTGACAGTCCATCACCCCACAAGAAGAAGCCTCCAGAAAGTCAGCAGAACTTTACAGACAACTGGAGGGTTCACAGAAAACGAGACCTTGAAACTGCCAAATAACTCTGCAAACAATTCACACCAAATAAGGGATTCACTCAAACTAGCTCAAAACTCCTTATTACCAATTTCCTCCACCAGATGGCCCAGCCCCAGCTCTGTCGACTCACCATCTCAGTTCTCTTGTTGGTGCCATACCTATTTGCACAACTTTTAGTGCTACTGATCCGAATGTTGCCTCTCTCTTTAATATAGGCTTCATGTGCATGTTTTGGTTCCAGCTTACTGTGTGGGCTAGACTCTTCTTGTCATTTTGGGCTGCATTCGCTCAGGGGTTTTCTTCCCTGTTTGTCCGCTAACACTGCCCTTGCATAGAGTTCCTTTCTCTAGTGTGTTCAAGTGTTCACCCCTGAAAGGCATGACAATTGGGATGGGGAGCCTCACCTTGGGCTTTTCAAGGATCCTTGATTCCTCTGTTTAGGCCCTTGACTGGGGCCATTCTTTGGTTGTGTTGGGATGCACTGGGGTTTGTGCACTTGTTAATGTGGCACACCATGGTTGCTACTTGTAGCCTGGTAGTTTGGGCTGCTATTAATGTCTGTTCCTTCAGCAAGCAGCCATAGTGCCAGAGGTATCTGCTTGGTTACCATCCTTGAAGCCCTTGGAATTTCCTGTGGGTCCGTGTGCATGGTCCATGTGGCTTGGCCCATCAAGCCTGCTCTCATCGAGTGCAAATTTATGGGGTGTTCTCCATCCTTACTTCAGGACAATAAGCATTCTTTCTGCCCCAGCCATGCTGCCTATTCAGTCAGTGACACCTATGACTCTGAATCCTGTGAGGTTTACTCTCACAGGGTCTCTGTGTTGGTGAATTCTACCCCCCAGTTGGAGGCATTTCAGGCAGCTGCCACTTTGTTAACTAGTTTGCTTGCATTAGGAGTACGCAGCATATTGATGGCCTGTGGTGGAGGTGGTCAGTTCCTAGCCCATATTTGTGGTTGAGCCTGTTGGGGTCAGGCATCCACTTGGCATTACGTTGGATCGTTATGGATTGTTTAGCCTCAGGTGTGGTCGAGGTGACCTCGTGCCTTCGGTGTGTAGCCTGATTATTTCATTATGCAGGCCAGTTGTATGTTGGGTTGTATCTCTTAGCCTGGTTTCTCCTTGTCCTAGTGTCTGTTGCATCTCCTACTTGGAACGGCCTGTTTTTGTTCTGTGTGGTTAGCAGTAGGGAGCCACCTGGAGGCTCCCTCCATAAACTGAGCATTAAATGTAATGAAAGCTTCTTTCTGGAGGACCATTTGTAGCTCCCTCATTTCCCCAAGGTTTGTCAGTTTTTGTGGGTTGTTCATCAGCTCCAAAATTAAAGTGGTGAGTTGACTGAGAGCTGGGGCTGGGCCGCCTAGTGGCATTAATCGGTACTAGTGAGTTGCGAGCTAATTTGAGCGAGTCCTTTGTTCTGTATGAATTGTTTGTGGAGTTGTTTGGCAGTTTTCAAGGGTTCACTTTCTGTGAATACTTCAGTTGTCTGTCAAGCTTCTCTGACATTTTGGATGTCTTTCCAGTGAGGTGGTGAGTTGTCATTCACTCCCTGCACCTCTGTGAGGGAGCAATGTTCTTAATCTGGTGTCTTGTAGGCCAATCAAAACTTCCATGACTGTGACCTTTTAGCATGGAACAATCTTGGCAAGATATCTTCAGGGAGCCACTAGAGCTCTCCCAGAAAGGGACTTTTCATTACATTCAACACTGGGGTTTGCTTTATTTTTTTAACAATAATCTTCACTTCTCTTGTTCAGCTTTTTCTTCTCTTATTATCAATACCTGCATCTGTTATTTAATGTATATTTTACAGGTAACAGCCGTGACCTTTAATGACACATCAGAGCAAGTCATCTCTGGTGGTATCGACAACGATATGAAGGTAAGCAATTGTTTTCAACTGAATTCCTCTTTTACTTGTCTACTTTCAATATCCTGCATGCCTATTTATCTTTATCTGAATTTATATGTTTGCTTTTGTGTATTTTTATCTTGAGGGGGTCTGAACATCACACAATGTGAGGATCTACTGAACAGTACTTTTAATAATATAGTAAGTAGGGAGATCAATGATTCTAATGCAAATTTTCTGTTTTTCTTATGTTTTTCTTCACTTGAAGGAGGTTGAAAATTAGGGTTCCAAAGTTCATTTCATAAATTTTATTTAGACTGACACAAAGAGGCTTAATACCTGTATGGACTGCAAATGTGAAAACAACTATTCCGAGACGTTTGCATTCAGGAAAGGCAGCTTACCTTAACTCTCCACCTCGGCTTGCTGGCCAGGGTTCCGAGTCATCTGGACTACCATCTGTTAGCAAACAGGAACACTGTATTAGTAGTAAATATCAGGATAATTCCCGTTGTGTTTCAAATATTTTTATGAGGATTATCAATTTGCCCTCTTGATGATGCTCATGTGACCATTCATGTTGATGCAGACGTTCATTGATACTCTAGCAGACGTTTGTGCTCACACATGCATGTTTTTGGAGTGTTTGGATTTCTGGCAAGGTTTTTTTTTTCTTTGATGATTTTTTAATCCCCTTTTATAATCAATTAGTTCATTTATTTAATATATATATGTAATCATATTTTTAGGTATGGGATTTGAGGAAAAATGGTCTGCTGTACCGGATGCGTGGTCATAATGATACTGTAACTGGGCTCAGCCTTTCCCCAGATGGCTCTTACGTACTGTCCAATGCCATGGACAATACTGTCAGAATATGGGATGTTCGACCATTTGCTCCTCAAGAGCGTTGTGTAAAAATCTTCCAAGGACACCAGCACAACTTTGAAAATGTAAGTTTGTCGTGATACTTTTCATTCTTTTATTAACTTTCCTAATTGCTCGGCCTATATTGTTGTAAAGTATTGTCTGTCATGTGCAAGAAAAAAATAATTCTAAAAACAATTGTCAGTCTCAAAGACAATACTTCTTTCCAAAGATTACCTGGTGAATATGATGTGTCATGCATGGTATTAGCTGGTATACTTGCACCACAAACACCTACACTCACTATACTATAAGCAACAGATCTCAATATTACTATTTTTCATTACATTTATTAGCTTAGGGAAGCATATTAACTACAATTGATAACTTGAGAAGAGTTTTCCCACTACAACCACTTACGAAGCTATAGCGCTATCTTACACGATGAACACTTAACATATGGTCAAAACTACCATGATCAAATTAGCAACAAGATCACTATAAACAGAAGTTGGTTCATATTGTTGCAACAAATATGTTCCAACTGGCAGTTGGAAGTGCATGTGACAGTACATCATCATATCAGTCACCACCCACATGTACACTCCACAGTCTAGCTTCACAAGATTGTCACTTGCTTAGCTAAACAATCTATGTGGTTTAGTTCCTCAACCCATTAGGTGCCTCTCTAACCCTTTCCACCACTGCCCACAGAATGGGTATGGGATGCATAATAAATAAATGAAATGGTATGGAAATCTCTTCCAATGCTGTTAGAGCAGCAAATTTCATATTCTAAGGGATAATATTCAAGTTAACTACAGTACTTCTTATACTATATATATTCCTCTTCATCACAAAAGCTCTTGCAGGTCCATTAACGTTTTGGGAATTTTGCACAGCGTCAGTGGTTCCTAGCGTGGAACATTTTTCCTGTGATCAGGGAATGCAGTTTAATATTACGTGTATTAGAAGAAAAAAACATCTTGGCTTACTTCATTGTTTTATGTGCACACTCGACAGTACCAACCATCTTGTCACACTTGTCAACCATGACACAATCTGGTTAATACAATTTTTTTGGTTGCTTTGTTGACCTTGCTAATGTTTACCATCCTACCAGTGTGAATGATGGCTAACATATTCATATGTGTCTTTCTAGTTCATTACGATCATACAGTATTGTCAAACGTTTTATCAGGCACTCACCAACACCATTTTTTTTTTTTTTGTCAAACACTGGCATTTCCCTCCTTTGTGCCTTTACTGTCACACACTCCAGATCTTTGTTCAAGCAGGAGCCTAGTTAGCAAGGGACTGGTATAATAATTATGTATAAAACGTGGTCCTTGTTCAGCCATGTGGATCATTTCTGTTTCACAATCACAGAGTTCAAAGAATTTCAGTCCAAATCTGTGGCATTTTGGAGGGAATATACTATTTCAAGGTAAGACATCCTGAAAAGCACAAGTGATTCATAAATCACCAGCTTCTGACCTGGTATGTAAAAATCTTTGAACTTCCCATTCAGTTCATTGAGGATGTGTGTCACCTTCCAAAGTCTCATCTTTGCTATGATTTTCACCATTTTCAGAATTAATGAACCCAAGAAGTAACAAATACCTGTCACGAGACGTATTACCTTAAAATAGGTATTGGAACAACAGAGTCTTTGTCCCAATAGTGTTGGATGAAGTTTTACTGAATGTTTTATCACAGTGAAAGAAATACAAAGAGTTCAGCTGCAGTGGTGTATATACAATGCTGCAGTCATGAATGTGATATTTCTTCAGTTCTAATAAATTGGCCACATATCTGTTAACTGAACAATATGTTCTGCGAGCGGCTCATTGAAGTATGCTATAAAATGCTCCAGTTCACTCGTGTCCTCACCAGTATATGAAAAATGTCTATCACCCTTACATCAGTATCGTCAAGTGTAGGGGTTTGTGGAGCAAAGTCCGCACTCTCCCCCCCCCCCCCCCCCCCCCCTCAAATACACCTGCTGTTCTGGCAGAAGCACTAACAAAACTCCATTGGCTAGGAGATGAAACCCATCTACTACACACACTGTGCAGGTATAAACAGATGAAGATGAGGGCATTCTTCCTTCAGTTCCCCATGTGACATCAAATGGTGGTGTTTGGTTGGGCAAGCGGGTGACACAGCAAAATTATGCTTGATAACACCACTAGCCACAGCACTGCTAAAACAATTATCAGATTCCAAATCACTAAATCTAGAAAATCTTCCACATGTTTGCGGCCCAAAGAAACGTAAAGCATATATGGAAGCTGATCAGAATTACATTTCACCTTTGTGAATGTACATTAATGACACTATGTAAAAGACACATCTAACACTTTATGTAGGGCATACGTAAATCTGTGTATCTATGTATTTACGTATGTAGGTTAGCTTAGCATTTTAAAAGCACCGAATCACCTTCTGTGGTTGAGTGTTCAATAAACCCTTGAACTATATGTTTAACACTTCTCTAACCCTGTCCATGGAGGACAGAAGAAAATGTATATATTCTGGTTAGCATTGTAAATGTCTGGCCACGTCTGTGGTAGAAAATAATAATAAAAAAAAAAAAGCTTGTTGCACAGACCCACATGGCCTGTCTTGTGATAGAGTGAGTGAGGCATTCAGTGAGTGTGGTAATGGTTTTAGGCCTCTCCTGGGGGGCAGGCACATGTGCATCAATATCACTGTGTTCTTAGCCCTGAGAATAATCTAAATCCACTTCAGAATCATGTTACTTTCCTCATTTGTGGGAAACAGTTTCTCCTGAATTTCTTCATCCATCAGCAATTGTGTGAAGTGAGCCACAGAGCAACTTTGTAAGGCAGAAGATCATGTATCAGCCATGGTAGATCAATACAAACTGAGGCCTTCCTGCCAATGCAGCCTACCCGGGATTTTTTCCAAGATGGTGGCTGTTTACTATCGCCAATGACCAGCATCTGGTTGCCCCCTGTAATGTGCAAATCATTTATATATTATGCATTACCCTAAATATGTTCGTAATAAGGCAAATAGGACACTGGGATTTATTAATCGAAGCATTACTAATAAAACACCTGGTGGTGTTCTTCAGCTATATCTTCCTCTGGTTAGGCCCTATTTAGATTATGCAGTTCAGTTTTGGTCCCTGTACTGTAGAATGGATATTAATTCACTAGAACGCATCCAGCGTAGGATGACAAAGTTAATCCCGCAAATTAGAAACGTGTCATATGAAGAAAGAGTGACAAAGCTTAAATTACATTCGCTGGAAAGGTAAAGAGTTAGGGGTGACATGACAGAGGTTTACAAGTGGATGAATGGATATAACAAAGGGGTATATTAATAGAGTATTAAAAGTATCGACACAGGACAGAACATGAAACAATGGGTATAAATTGGATAAGTTTAGATTTAGGAAAGATCTGGGTAAATACTGGTTCGGTAACAGGGTTGTTTTGTGGAACCAATTACCGAGTAACATGGTGGAGGTGGGGTCCCTCGATTGTTTCAAGCGTGGGTTGGACAAGCATATGTGTGGGATTGGGTGGTTATAAATAGGAGCTGCCTCGTATGAGCCAATAGGCCTTATGCAGGTACCTTCATTCTTATGTTCTTAAATCATTCCTGTTTGACTCAGTGTGGTCAGATATGACATGAGCTTCCCTGTTCGACATGTGCAGCTTACGGATTAATACAGACCACATTCAGTAATAGACATAATTCCTTATTTTATGAATACAGCATATTTTTTTTACTTTTTGTATTGCTTTCAGATTTTATTACGTTGTTCTTGGTCACCTGATGGTCGTCGAGTAGCAGCTGGATCGTCTGATCGCCACGCATACATATGGGATACAACTACAAGACATATTCTTTACAAGTTACCAGGACACAATGGCTCTGTTAATACAGTCGAATTTCATCCCAAAGAACCAATAAGTAAGTTTACATTGTGTTAAGCAATTTTTATTTCTATTCAGTTTATAATACAGATAGGTCTTGATTAATTGGGCCAGCTATAAACATAATAATTTTAAAGTTGGGCACAGAAACATAAGTTTTTTCTACATGAAACATGTTAAACAATACAGCATTATATCGATGTGTATTGAATAAATAAGTTACAATTATGTGAATAATATATATATAGCAGTAAAGTATGTTTTTCTGTAGCAACAGGTGTCCAGACTTCCTTTCAATATGTCAGTACTGTATTTTGAAGCTTCCAATGAAGAAGGCATTTACTCATTTAATTTATTCTTTCCATCTTCCACTCAGTTTACAACAGATAATTTTAGAACGCATTTCAACAACTTTCTCTTGTTCTTGATATTGCGGGCTAAAAAAATTCCTTATTAATTTGGTTGATTTGCATCGTAATTCTGTATGTGGTAATTGTTCGCCCCTTTCTGGTTTGGGTCCCTCTGTAGCTCGAAACCCTGGAAAATATACCAAACCTCTTAACAATTTATAAATGCCTACCAAAGACCAAGACCACAATATGACCCCCTCCCCATCTTCAAAGAGGCTTAGGGGTACCTGGGGTCAGTATGGTTCTATGGTGATCAGAGATCATTATAGAACTGAGAAAAACTACTAGAAAGGTACAGTGTTCTTAAAACGAGCAACTGCTCAGGATTGCAGTGGTTTACTTTGACTCCCTGACTTTTTGGATGCCTTCCCTGGTGGTAGCATACATACATAAATAAGTGTGACTGCTGTCTGTGCCTCTGTGTCCAGGTTCTGGTCCGATAGGCGTGTAGAACTATGCAGCTGATGCACCCTAGTAGATGGTACCATAGCTGTACTGTATATGATATTTTCAGAGCCAACAGAGCTCAGCAAAAAATTGGCATTACATTCAGTGCTGATTTTTGTCATTTTTGTTTTTCAATTGATATTTGGCTGAAACTTTGACTTGTTGGAGTACACATCCCCAGCAGTAGGTTAGCTAAGTTAGAAGGTAATCAATAAATTGGAACCAGCTGTAACAGGAACCAGAATATTGGAATCTCATTTTCCCATCAAATTATTTTTTGTTTATATTTGGATAGATGTCCCCATAGTTACACTTATGTGCCACCAGATAGCCACCCAGGTCATTCAGAGAGACCTAAACTATTGAACGTGGCAACGAGAACCTTAGTCAACATATCAAGGTACCCAATAAGAGTAAGACACCTGACTAATGACTTAGTTTCTGCTTAACCAAGTTACAACCCAGAAAGAAGCATTAATATAAATTAATATACTGTGTATATGTATATATATAAGTTCAAACTTAATTTTTATTATTATTCTACTTTCAAGTGCATCAAAATTGATTTTATTAATTATTTAATAATACATTTTTATCTTTCAGTTATGTCTGTGTCGAATGATAAGCAAATTTTCATAGGAGAAATTGAATAGAAATTAGCTGAAAATTTCAAGCACTTCAAGGTCATGCTCTCGCAGCCAACAGCATTAGTCGATTAAGAAATTTGATCTTGTCACCCACCCTCTCATCTTTACACAAGTACATGAGAAACAGATGTTTAAGAGAATTGTCCACAATAAATCCTGAAACAAAATGTAGTGAATTTCTTTTTAATTGAAATTTTAATAATAAAGTTTATACAAAATTCTATTGTGAATAAATTACCCATCAGTATGTGCACATTAATATTGTAAAAGCTAACAGAAAATTGTACAAGACGTTTTAGTTAAGGTAATCTCTTATTTGAATAAAAATACAGTAACCTAATTACTGTGGTTACAACATGCAGTTTGTTTAATTTTTAAGATGTAAACAACATTGCATAAGCAAACATGTGATACTAAAACCTAAATTATCCATACCTCAGTTTTACAAATTCTTGGGTAAATTGAGATGGGAACTCTATTTTTACTATCTCAGTTTACTGAACATGAGCCAGTCAAGTTTCTCTAACTAGATATTTTCTTCAAATTTCCAAAGTTTGTTTCTAGACACCCAGAAGTATCTATTAATGCAGATAATCAGGTGTACACTGTATCGTGTTCTTCATATGAAGTAAGTACTTCATATTTTTGTAAATGTTTGTATGAACAAGTTTTGTATTCAAATATACTGTACAAATAAATTTGGAAATGGAGTTTGTCATTTATTCCTAGACTTTACTCTCATGTGGACACACAGAATAAAATATCACAGTTGTTCAACCAACAAAATATATGCAGTCAAAAAACCAGCGTTGAATGTAATGAAACACAATTTTCTGGGAGAGACCCAGAGGCTCCCTGGAGCTATCCATCAGTCAATGTACATGGAGTTCTAGGTCTACCAGGGACCACGAGCCAGAACCTGGCCCCCTCAGAGAGGCACAAGGAGCAATGGCCTATAGACACACCTGATATATAGTTTAGAAGTACTCTTATGTCTGCCATCGACCGGGTCGGGCACCCAGAAAGATAAGCGCACCAAAATCCCCCCCTTCCCATTTTGGTGAAGAATTGCTCCTAAAACGCCGAACGAGTGGATAGAACTCTCCATAAAGAAAAACGGGCAAAATTTCATCTCGTTACCAACACGCCACCATCTGTGCAACCCCCTGCCAGCAGCAGCTCCGCCAATGCCGCACAATACAAGGCAACAGTGTTAGGCATGAGATGATGGTCCTGAAAGGACAAGACAACCCTAACTGAAAGTTCTGTCTTCCATTTGTCACAAATTTGCTCACCTTATCCAAAACTGTTGCACCATATCACCTCACCCAAGTGCGAGTATATGTAAGACGGATAAGCTGTTTAGTGTTAGTATAAGTAAAACTCTCTTTAGTTTTTCCAGGTTACAGTTGTGTGTGTAAACTAAAGTCTTTGAAAATGTAATAAGTTATTACGAAACGCGTTCAAGCGTCGCGTCAGACTAGAAATAAAAATGAATTTTGGAGAATTGATTTTTCAATTACCATGACAGTAAAAAGTAACAAGAAATATCGAGAAAATTTGTGTTAGAATTATTAATCTCGCTTTTTTGATCATATTTAACGACATACATACATACCCAAATTTTCCCTTGGATTTGGGTTTCCCTGCCCTTGGGTTTGGTGTGACCCAAACCCAAGGGCAGACATCCCCCCCCCCCCACCAAGGCAAGGAACAAAAAGAAACAATACACCCCACAAGAGGACAGTGTACCCAGTGAATGCAGAGCTGGCTGCTATGTGAGAGGTGACAACTAGCTGCGTAAATACCTTGTGCCCCTGCCAGTGATGAATACTACCCCCTGCCCAGAGGCAAGTAGAGGAGCAAGAACACCCCAGTTGACTCCAAGGGCGGACAAGTACCAAGCAGTAATTGATACAGCGGAGGTAGCCCAAGGTAACTTGTGGAAGGAGGCCCCAAGCCCCAAGGGCAGTACTTATAGGGCGCTTAGGAAGGGGGACCTTAAGCGCATGCAGCCCCAGTACTTGTGAATATACTCCCAGCTCGCACACTACTGAAGCAAGAACAGAGAAGAAAATCCGGAGCTGGAGGTACACGACCGAAGCCCACAGACATCAGACAAGAACTAGCAGGCTCATGTAGCCGACAAGGAGAGGGGGGATGCACAGATGGCGGTGCATTTGTAACATGATGATGTCATGCTCGTTTGCTTGTTTTTCTTTATGGAAAGTTCTGTCCACTCGTTCAGCGTTTTAGTAGCAATTCTTCAGTAGAATGGGGGGAAAGGGTGTTTTGGGGCGCCTATCATTCTGGGTGCCCAACCCGGTCAATGGCAGACAGTGTACTTCTAAACCATATTTCAGGAGTCTCTATAGCCCATTGCTCCTTGCGCCTCTCTGAGGGGGGCCAGATTCTGGCTCGTGGTTCCCGGTAGACCTAGAACTCCACGTACATTGACTGATGCCCAAGGCTAATACTTCCATATCAGCCGGATAGCTCCGGGGAGCCGAAGGGGGCCCCCCACCCAACAGAAAACGTATATTTTAAAATATGCTTTTTTTCCGTGAGAACCCTCTGAGCAGCATCCCACCTGGAAGCTTACAGGCCATAGGTACCACACCAGGCTCCAATGTTTTTAATTGTAGCAGTTTTCAAAGTAACTTATTCTTGTAAATTTTCTTTTTGCAAATGAGTGGTAAACAGTTGGAAGAAGTAAAATACAAAGATGGGGAAGCCAAAACCATCAGTAGTTTAAAGCATTATATAGTACAGTATTGCCAAAAAGTTCTAAGAAAACAGGACACCAAGAGCATAGCTCTCATCCTGTAACTACACCTTGGTAATTACTAATTATTATAATTATATAGGAAGGACACTCCATTATATAAAATAATAGTTTTTTCAATTATTATTGTTGAAATACAATAAAATCATTGTATAAAATCATTAATAGTACAAGTTAAAAAAAAAGTACTGTACTTTCAGGACAAGCAACTGCTATGAATCATTAAAAACTATAATATGATCTACAGTGTACAAATTACATTAGTTTTAAATTATCAAAGCTTAATTTAAAGATCCTCCACAATTGATATGAACATTCCTAAAATGTCAATAACTGACTATTCAGCACAAGCAGTGTTCAGCAGCATCCTACTTCCCAGGATATATCACCTCTACCAACTTTCCTTTACAAAGCCATAAAATCATGGCTCTCTTAAGTGTGATTTTTACAGGGTGAACCGACTCCTATTTTGAAATTAATATAGGCAATAATGTATAGAAATTTTCAACTCAACTGCTCACAGTAATGAGTGAAAACACCTTGAGTAGAGATCAAAACCACATCTTTGTGATATTTTGCTATATAGAAGTGATTCCCAGTTCAGCAATACCTGCCAGTAAAACAGTTAAGACATTCTTTTGTTGAAGTTGCACAGATTATTCAATGGATGATTTCTCAAGTCTGAATTAAAACTGCATCATGCAAAATAGGATAATTACAAATGGGAAGAACTTCCTTCAAAATTTATATATTTCAACATTACACGATTATTAACTTGTGCATCTCAACTCATTTGCAATTGGTAGACCGATTTAGTACTATAGAATAAAAATAGTTAAATTATACTTGGATGGAATTAAAATTTACTGTATAAGCTTTAACTGGTACAATATTTATTGATGTGTGTCAGGAAGTCTCTCCAGAAGTTTCATCATCATGTTAAAATTGTCATTGGTTTGATCAATGTTGTAATTTGAAAGCCTTTTTATAGCCTTTTTAAGTATTTGTAAAATCTCTACTGCATAGTGAATGTGGTCTGGCTCACCCAATCGCACTTCAGCAATTAACTTATCAAGGAGACCTTGTGTATCTATAGTTGAGGACATCTCCTGTATTTTCTTTGCATGAAAAAGCAACTGCAGCGTGTTTTGAACAATATCTTTTTTATATAAATGTATTTTCTGTTTACCATTTGTAATTTTTGCCATTGCATCTTTTCTTTTGGATACTGCTACATCAAAAAGTTCCTTGATATCTTCATTTACTTTCACTTCTAATTCATTATATTCTATAATCCTTTCCTCTTCTCTAAGGTGTTGAGACAAAGAATGTAAGCATCCATGTTCACCACATACATCCCCTCTTCCAGGAACAAGGCAAGAATTCTGTGTGAGAAATTTGCCACAACAAGTTCCAGTTACAACACCAATGGTAATACCAACAACACCACCAACAATAATACCAGGAACACCAGCAGCAGCAGCAGCAGCTGCACCACCAACTTCACTTACTGCAACTGATCCACCTAAAACTCTCGTCACCCAACCTCCAATTGATGCAGCAATCCCAGAACTAGTAGCAGCTCTAGTTGCAGCAACTACATTATTCAAAGTAGCTTGAGCAGCAGCAGCTCCAGCAGCTGATCCACCTAGAACACCTGCTATTCCTCCAATAAAACCAGCATTATTGTTGCCCTTCTCTGGTGGGCAGGGAAATATACAGGTCTGGTTACACACAGGGCAATTATGTGCATGAAAACCATCCTCTATTCCCAGTCTATCTTTTTTTCTTATAGTCCTTTCATGCCTCCAACTTTTGTTCTTTGCTTCTTGTAATTCATATTTACTCAGTATTTTCTTATTTAACTCCAATGCAGTAAGTAATTTACCCAACTCCTCAACCTTCCCTTTCAATATTTTCAATGATTTATCCAAGAGCTTCCTCTCACGCAAAAGCTTTACACTTACAGTGGGAGCATTTGTAAAGGCAGCAAAGAATCTTTCATATTGTTCAATCATAATTTCCCACCTAAATAAAAGCATATCTTTACCTCTCTTACATGGGCTAGAACTAATATTGTGAGGAGTACAGAGTACCCCATTATCAAATTCAAACATATCATTGAATTTCACTCCTGCATTTCTGACAATCTGGTCAACCATGGGTTTCTCAACTGCAAAAGTAGCAAAAAGCTGTGTAATCTCTGGCACATTATCTCCAAGCAGTGAAACAATCTCTCTTAATATGTCCTTTTGAAATGTGAAATCTCGATTAGTATTTGCTTTGGCGACTAGTCCAATGCAGCTTAAATCATCTATTCCAAAGTCTGATGTCAAAAATATTTCTAATTGACTCATAACATTATCCTGATGTTGTAAACCTCTAGTATCAGCCAATCCTGGAGTGTCTATTACTGCTAAATTGAAATTGCATGTCATTCCTTCTTGATGATAGAATAGATATACAGTGATAAAATCTGTTTGACTTTCTGTGTCCTTCCTATCACTACTAATCCTCTGATCCTTTATTTGCAAACGAAAATTGTCTTCAAACTTAACACCAAACACAAAGTTGACCATTGCATTAACTATAGTGGTTTTCCCAGCTCCTGTTTCTCCCAGTAGTAAAATGCATTTTGTTGGCCTTTCGTTTGGACTTCCAACAGACAGGACTTGTATGTTGTTTTCTTCATCCTGGATTTTAACTGTAGTCTGCAAATTAAACCACTGTATTCCATCTTTTACAGTATTAAAGTTAACATTTCTTTCAATTAGGCTGTTCATCTGTGCTCCGTCCATTACTTTACCCAGTTGAAGTAGACACACCTGAAATGAATAAAATTAAACATTGAAAGTAATGAAATACTGTCTATTGGTGAGCCTCCAGTAGTTCCCTTAGCATAGGCACTGATACAGTACAACCATGCTTTAGCTAACTACACCTGACCTTTGAAACCCATCCTTGTCTCCCAGAAGCCAGGACAAGAATTAGGCCCACTTCACAAAATGGAGTTTGGAGATCGCAGATCAACTCAAAAGTGAGAAAACCCAGTACTGAGTGTAATGAAATGCCTCTTTCTGGTGGGTCCCCTCTGAATCTCCCAAAGCTACACATAGGAGTTCTTCAACTCAGGTACCAAACCACAATCAAATGGAACCTACCAGAGACCAGAACCTGAATCTGGCCCTCTCAATAAATGCATACAGAAGCAAGGATACAAGACCACAACATTACTGAAGGTAAAACCATCTGAAGGTAAAGTGTACTAAAATAATCAACTGCTTAGACGATTTTCAGCCTTGATTCAAACCATGTTCACACTCATTGTCTAGGTCTTACCACTAGTTAGCTCCACTCCCTCACTAGCAGATAAGTACCAATAAAATATATTAGTCAAAATTGAAAGGTTTAATGGGGTAAACACTTAATTAACAGGACGCTAACATAGTTTAGTTCATTATTATGCACCCTATACCCATCCTGTGAGCAGTAGTGGAAAGGGATCTGAGACAAAGTGAAATCGACACCAGTAATTCCATTTATCATCATACTATCACGCAAGAGGAGCCACACATCTATTAATACTATGAATAATCCAATAAAATCAGCAGACTTCTAGATGTTACTACTGCTCGGCTTAGACTCAGTTACAAGTATCTCTGGGAATTCTCATTATCTATTGATGTAGACCTGACCTAATGTAAACTGTCAACAAAATTATTCGCACACCCTCCTATGTGCATGGAGTGCAAAAAGATACGGAAGCTAACATAAATGACAAATAAATCAGCAAATGATATGCAATAATTAAGTACAGGCGACAGGTGGCATGGTGTTCTATGGAATTACAGGAGTGAATAACCTAACAGATCTTAGTACATAATTGAAGGTTATTTCCCAAAGTAAAATTAAATACAGTGCCTGATCAACAAAAAAACACTTTAAATAGCAGACGCCCAGTATATCAGAATATTGTGATAGAGTGTAGAGAGAATATTAAGAAATTAGAAAAAACTGGGTATAAAGGAAGATGCATGTGGATCCCTTCACATGTGGGAATACTGTTGAATGAGGTAGTTGATGACATAGCGAAGAGAGCCACTGAAAAAACTTTTGTTGATGTTGTATGTCGGTTAACCTTGAAACAAATAAAAACAAGAATCAAGATGATCCAAGAGGGTGAAGAAATAATAAAGAGAATGGCAATGGTGGACAGTAGTAACACACTTAAGAATTATTCAATAATAAATACAAATTCGTCCTTCACTTATGGTAAAGTTAAGTCTACTTGGAAGGATTCAATTTACATGAGATAAGATTAGGATACAAATATATCTGGCAATATGGTGTTGATGTCAGTGAAAAAGATAAGGAGTGTAAATTATGTAGTATGCCGCACGCCCACACCTTAGAACATTATGTATTAGTGTGTCAACTTATTGAAAACTATAGAAATAAGGAAATAAATAGTGTACCACATCAAATTGTTTGGATGTGTGATAATGGTATGATAGACAGTATACTTAGGAGCTACAGGAATTTTGCCCCAAGAGTGTAACAATTATATGCTGTACTTACTATATTAACCTGCAATGTTAAATGGGATTCTGGTAATATTATTTGTCTATTTGTACTCATTGAATTTGTGCTCCCCTTGAGGGACTTGAAGTAGAGGGGGGGTAGAAATAGCCTAGGCTACTCTATCTCTTTGAGATGTATTTCTTGCATATCTCAATAAACATACTTGAACTTGAACTGTGCATTTTCTGCTACGGAGGTTTCTAGCGATGTGCAAAACATTTAATTAGGTTAGGTTCCATATTTACTAATTTATATACAAGAAGGTACATTGGGTTTGTGAGAATACATAGCACAGTATTTACAATCTTGCAAAGCCACTAGTACGCGTAGCGTTTCTGGCAGGTCCTTAATCTAACACATTTACAACTTGACAGTGAAACACTCACTGTTCCCTGTTGCCTCCTATTCCTCCTCCTTCTTCTTCCTCCTCCTTCCTCTTTCTCTTTCTTCTTCTTTACGGTAGGCGTAGTTTCCATGAATGTTGCCAATGCCCTGCCAATGGCTGCTCGAGTGGCGGTGGTGTGAGACGGGTCAGTATTTAGAATTTGACAAGGGTTAACTATTTTAATAATTCCCGTTGTTCGGGGACAAGAAGCCTGTGTATGTTTATATACTATGCTGTTGTTGCCAGTTGATGCAAGGGTGATGAGGGAAGTGGACGTGTTGTTGTTGTGTTGATTTAGGGGCGACGACGATCGTGGGATCGGATGTGCCCCGGCTGCCCACAAGAAGTGGACGTGTTTGAGTGGGACGACGCATGACGGCCAGCAGGTGTTGTGTTGACGGCGTCAGCTGATTGTTGGTGCTCTCTGTGGCCACGGTCACGTTTTCTATGTAGGATTGTCCCGGGAGTTTTGAATTGGTCACATGTGGTTGAATTTTGGGGTTAGCAGACATTTAGACAATGCTTTGACTACTTCATATTTTATATGTAGTGAGACGTCTCCTCCCCTTAATAAGTAAGTACTCGATGTTGAAAGGCACTTTGAGGGAGATAAGTACTTGTATGAACTTATTTCTAGCACTATATAACGTCTGAAACAGGAAAGGGGGTGTTTTCCTCTAATTTCGCTATAAAATTCAATTGTTTCACAGTACAAATAATTTTTTTCACGTCCTACATTCAGCATCAACATTATTAGTTTAGTTCATTTATTTTGCACCCCATACCCATCTTGTGGGCGGTAGTGGAAAGGGTTACAGAGGCACATAATGGGCTCAGGGACTGAACTCCACAATTCATTTAGCTAAGCAAGTTACAATCTTGATGAGCTAGTTACAAAATTCAATGCACATCGTCATATAATCAATGGGCTCGAGACTGACTATAAGTAGAATTTCTAAATGAATGTCAATCATTGTCGATTTTGCCCCCCTTGTTTAAATCTCTAAACGTACTAAACATAACCTCACTCTACACATTTTCTTGTGTCAGTTACCTTTACATGTTAATTACATTTACAAAACCTTGTTCTTAAGTGCAAACCCTGTTCTGAAACTCTTCTTGGACAGATGTAATAGAACACTAATCGTACGTTACATAATCACCACACCAAAAAATAAATGTCTCTTTGATATCCCCCAGAGTCAAACTTAATCTGTGTAAACACTTTATGCAAATAAGGGACCTGGTCTATGGAACTCACTCCCTAACGAATTTAAAAGCTGTCAAACTTTTACCTTATTAAAAAATAAAACAAAAAAAAATTAGGTACAAAAAGTACCTAATTTCATCTTCATATTTTCCTACCTAGTGCTTGAAACTCTCACTGTATCTAGTGTTACCCAATTCCCCAAAATATGTATCTATGCCATACAACTTTACCATTGTAATCATTGCTGTTATCTTATATCATGTTAAACACATAGTTTGCTACATTATATCTTGCAATAATCCTCAAATTATGCTAAAATGTACCTGTGGATAACTCTTAAATTTACTTTAATGTACCTACTTTTTTCTGTCAAATGTCTTATACAATGTATTTTTTTTATACTTTCTTACAATGCATTTTTATACCTTCTTACGTGTATTTTTATACTTTCTGACAATGTATTTTTACACTTTCTTACAATGTACCTGTAAACATTTTTAATTTTGTTAGAAATTATCTGCTTAAAATTATATGTTAGATTAAGGATCTGCCCGAAACGCTATGCGTGCTAGTGGCTTTACAAGAATGTAAAACTTCAAGTGTCTGTACTCTAATAAACCTAATGTACCTTCTTGTTGATGTGACGACTTATATTGAATTTTGTAACTAGTTCATCAAGATTGTAACTTGCTTAGCTAAATGAATTGTGGGGTTCAGTTCCTGAGTCCATTATGTGCCTCTGTAACCCTTTCCACTACCGCCCACAAGATGGGTATGGGGTGCATAATAAATTAATAAATGAACTACACTAAAAAACCTTCTTGTATATAAATAAATAATAAATGAATAAATTAAGCCACTGACATATGTAGAGAGCTAGTGTCACAATTGATAAGTTTGTCCTGCACACCGCCCCCCATCCAGTGGGCAGCGGTGGATAGGTTACAATCACTTAGTTACTACCTACAGTTAGCAAACTGGGGATATTTGGCCAAGACCTCTGGCAGCAGATCATTTTGAATTAAATATTTACACATCTCTTGAACATTTGTTATAGAATTGTTTTTGAATTCGCGTATCTTTTCGCACTCCATCACATAGTGACGGGGGTTGTGTGAATAATTTAGTTGGCACAGTTTACATTTAGTCAGGTCTACATCAGCAGATAATGAAAATTCCCAGAGATACTTATAACTGAGTCTAAGCCGAGCAGTAGTAACATCTAGAAGTCTGCTGATTTGTTTGATTTGATAGATGTGTGACTCCTCTTGCATGATAGAATGATAATGGATGGAATTATAGTGGGCATCAACATAATACTGGGTAAATATGTCATATTTCTTCATTACTTACGTAATACTAAGAGGCTTTGAGTATCTTTAGGTGACTTTGTGTAATTAGATTAACCAGGTAACTTACCTGTATTTACCTGAAGGCCACTAAAACGCTAGTGGCCTCGATGAGGGCAGGACGCCGGCGGTTTGTCAAAGGTCTTTCATTTTTCCTGATGATTTTTTCAAGCTCGATTTCAAAGTTCGGCAGAGTTTTGACATATACGACTTCGGCTGGTAGGCGGTTCCAAGGGTTTATAACCCCTGTGGGTGAAAAAGCATCTCCTGGTTTTAGTCCTACACTGTGGCTTGTTGGGCTTGATACCGTTGCTCCTTGTTTGTGTTACATCTGACATTTTGAACAAGTCAGGATCTACATCCTCCAAATTGTTCAGTATTTCGATATCAGCCCTATCATGTCTGGTTTGCAGTGTTGTTAGCCCTGTGGCCCTCAACCTGTCCTATTATGAGAGTTGATTTAGTTCTGGAATTATTTTTTGTTGCTCGGCGTTGAACTTTCTCCAATGAAGCTATGCCTTTCTGAAGATGAGGTCTCCATGCTTGGATACAATAATACAAGTGTACCAAGTACCAGGAGATTTATACAGTTGAATAACTACATTATTTTCCTTAAAATCAAAGGTTTGTCTTTGATTTTATTGTCATATTTGTGTGCCACTCCCACTTATGCAACTATCAGTGAATAATGGATTCTGACTCCAAAGTCCTTTTCTTCATCAATCTGTTGCAAGATAATGCTGTAAATTTGGTAGTTATGACGCTGACTGTTATGCCCCAATGCAGGTCTTGCATTTATCGATATTAAAAAAACACTTGCTAGTCTTTTGCCCATATGTGGAGTTCATGTAGACGTCCTTGTAAGGTCTCAGCATCATTTTCACTTCCCACTTTACCATAAATCTTAGTGTTTTCTGCATATTATTTAATGTGGTTTATAATATTCCCATCTATGTCGTTGATAAATATGACAAAAAAGGGTAGTTCCCAAAATGATCCCTTGATCATTTTGGGGACCACGCCACTTTGTACTAAGTATTGTTTTACTCATTCTAGTATTCTACCATTCTACCAGATATTAGTATTTATATTCTGTTTGGCAATAAATCCTCTAGTCTTATAAATCTCAAAATAAACAATACCCAAATTTGTAACAAATTAGATGGCAAATTCCTTGGCATTCTCATTGACAACAAGCTGAATTTCCAGGGACACATTCTAAATATATCAAAAAAAGTTTCAAAAACTGTGGGCATTCTTTCTAAGATCAGATATTATGTACCACGCCCTGCTCTGGTGACTCTCTATTACTCCCTTATCTATCCTTATCTCAACTATGGTATTTGTGCTTGGGGTTCTACTACCCAAAATCACTTACGTCCTCTAATTACCCAACACAAAGCCGCTATTAGAACAATATCCAACTCTGGCCCCAGACATCACTCGGTACCCCTACTCAAATCTCTTAATATGTTAGATATTAAGTCACTGCACATTCTCTCATGTGTATTATACATATATAAAACGCTAAACTATAATGCCAATCCTGATCTCAAAAGCTTCATAGAAGGTTGTAACAGAACCCATGAGCACCACACCAGAAATAAATACAGTTTTGATATTCCTAGAGTACGTCTTAATCAAACTAGAAATGCTCTGCAAATCAAGGGGCCCAGAATGTGGAATGACCTTCCCAACCATGTTAAAGACTGTACCTCTCTCAACCAGTTTAAGATAAAAACTAAACACTACCTAATAAATTCCCTGTAATCTACCTCACTCCTCTATTGTCAACCCATGTCTGTTATTTTCTTTTTTTTTTCTTTTTTGTAATCAACACTGTTTGTCAACCTATTGTATTTGTGCTGCTTTTTCAGTCATGTTCCCCCTTTTTTTTATCTTTATTTGTATTTGTTCTCAACATCTTTTATTCTTTATGCTCAATTAGTATTAAGTTCTAGATATTAATGTTTTTCTTGCCCGAAACGCATTGCGTAATAGTGGCTTTAGGCATTGTATGTACTAGCTCTATCTATATATCAATCCATTAATGTAACATCACTTGTATGTATATACCTTACCTGAATAAACATCTGAATCTGAATCTGAATCTGAATGTGGTTTATAATATTCCCATCTATGTCGTTGATAAATATGACAAAAAAGGGTAGTTCCCAAAATGATCCCTTGATCATTTTGGGGACCACGCCACTTTGTACTAAGTATTGTTTTACTCATTCTAGTATTCTACCATTCTACCAGATATTAGTATTGTATTACTTATTTTATCTATTCTACCAGATAATATAAGTAATACAAATTAGAAACAATTAAGCGGCATGTTCTATAAGTGGAAAAGCATTAATAGGGCTCTAGGTGTATCTCCATGTAAATTTGTGAAATAAATATTAATTATTATTATTTTTAATCACATAAATCCGTTTAAAATTCCCGGGTCACTGAGAGTATAAACGGCAAACTGTGTTTTGCCCTTGATGGTGCCTGTGAAGGAATCAGATTCCTCCGTGCGGCTAAGAACATGTTTGCGCCTGCTGCCGGAGGATCCAACACGACCTTCACTTTATTTGTGTGTATAAGCTCTTGTTTTCCGTGAAAGGCATTGAAGGGAGATATATTGATGTGAACCAATATGTGTCTGTGAAAACTGGGCAGAGGACTATGATTCCGAGATAGTGAGCCCACAGAGATGAGGAAGGATATGTCGTGATGTCGGTGGAGGCAGCTCAGGATTCTCGCTGAGGAAGCAAGGAAGGTGAAATGCTCCTCGACCCAACACCCTTTAGCCTAACCTTCCACATCATTAATGTTTTTGGTGTTTTGATGTAACTCTCGTAGAGGCTTTAGATTTATGTAAGGCACAAACTACATAAAGACGGACGGAGAGAATACAGCGACCTATCATGTAGCAGCATCCCAAAAGCATTGATCACCGAATAATATTTTCGTTCATTAAGAGCTTATTGTATCAACCTACTCTAATCTAACATCATAATAATAAAAATGGTAACAATTTTGTTCATTAAATATACATTAAACATATTGCAATAGATTCCTTGTAGGTCAGAGGTTGCATATTAAACAATATGACTCGGCCTTTACATAGACTTAACAGTGTTGCCTAACCTATTGAGTCCTAATTTGTGAAGACTGACTCATTGGAGTTAGTTTAGTTCATTTATTATGCACCCCATACCCATCTTGTGGGCGGTAGTGGAAAGGGTTACAGAGGCACATAATGGGCTCAGGGACTGAACCCCACAATTCATTTAGCTAAGCAAGTTACAATCTTGGTGAACTAGTTAAGAAATTCAGTATAAGTCGTCACATTAACAATGGGTTCAAGATCGACCTCAAGTACAGTTTCTAAATTAAGCAACTGACATGTGGAGAGCTAGTGTCACAGTTGATATGTTTGTCCTGCACACCACCCCCCCCCCCATCCAGTGGGCAGCGGTAGATAGGTTACAATCACTTAGTTACTACCTACAGTTAGCAAGCTGGGGATATTTGGCTAAAATTTCTGGTAGCAGATCATTTTGAATGAAATATTTAATTGGGTAATTGGAAAGGATGACTTGTGCTAATTCTCTAATTTATGCTTTTAGATTAGATAAAGTTAGGGGCATTTTATCTTTACTTTCTATAGAAAGTTAAATGAAATGAAAATAAGTACAGGAGAAGGGTTATTTCCAAAGAATTGTCAGAGGTACTCTTTGGTGCTCTAGAATAATAATAATAATAATAATAATAATAATAATAATAATAATAATAATAACCAAAACAACTCGGAGCACCATTTCAGAGGTACTGTATTAGGATAAAAAAGAACATAAATAAAAAATAACATTCTTAGCTGGTGACTGAAATGTTATCAACCACTGGCCCTGCTAATAAATTCAATTGTTTCTTCTCATCCATTGGCACATAGCATGCAAATGAGATTCCCAACATCCAAAACCAATGTAGCTGACTCTCTCTCAGGCAGATATCATGAGTCTGTACCTGTCCCCAACAAATTCCTCAGACCAATATCACAGTTACCCACCCTGTAGAAAATAGTTGAAAAATTAATGTACCAGCAGCTTTATTCCTACCTAACTAAAGATAACATGCTCAGCTCTTGTCAATACTGTATTGCTTCTGACCCCAAAAAGGCACCAATGGCTTGACGCAGTCGGGTTCGTTCTTGACTCATAATCGGAAATTCTGTGTTGGAATCTCGGGTTGAACAGGAATGGTTGGGTGCATTTCCTATCACATAATGCACCTGTTCACCTAGCTGTAAATAGCTATCCAGAAGTTAGCCAGCTTGTTGTAGGGTTGCATCCTGGAGAAGGGTTAGTAATTTAACCTTAGGGGAGGGGGGTGTGCCTTAACATAAGCCTAACATGTGTATATACACTGGCTGCCTGTCCCTTAACATAAAGACTTATTATTATTATTATTATTATTATTATTATTATTATTATTATTATTATTATTATTATTATTATTATTATTATTATTACGAATGGTATTATTGCAAATACCATTCATCTTCATCTCAAAAAACATAGATTAATAAATGATTCACAACATGGTTTTACTAACGACTGTTCATGTTCAACAAATTTGGTATAAATTTTATTCCAGCATAGTTTAGGCAGTTGATAGTGGTAAGGTTTGTGACATTGTGTACCTTGACTTTAGCAAAGCTTTTGATACAGTGACACATGAAAGAGTGATTAAAAAGATAGAAGCTCATGGTATTGGAGGTGCTATATTAAGTTGGATTAGGGCATGGCTATACTAAACAACCCGACAGACCATTGGAACATTATCTAACACAGTGCAGAATTACAAACCCATTATGATTTCAACTTAGATTCAACAGAGCAGAAGAAGTTGTTAAACACATGGGACAAAATCTTACTGAAGCGACCATACGAGTCATAAATACTCCTACTCTGCCCAAGTAAAACAGAAACAAGCAACACTTAGGGGGCCAGCCAAAGGCTTAGGGCCTGTGCAGGAATATCCCTGAAAAAAACCCAAAGGAAACAAAGAGTATAAATGGAGTTAAGTCTGAGTTAGAAAATGTTGTAAGTGGAGTGCCTCAAGACTCTGTGCTGGGACCTCTGTTATTCATAATATATATAAAGGATTTAGATTCAGGTTTGAGCAGCAATATTTGCAAACTTGCTGATGATACAAAAATCAGGAGGGAAATAAACACAGAAAAAGAGTCGCTATCACTTCAAGATGATCTAAATAGGGTTTTGAAATTGTCAAAGGATTGGCAGATGCAGTTTAATGCTGACAAATGTAAGGTTTTGAGGCTAGGTAATGATGATAGAGTTACAGGAAGAGAACCTGCACAATAGAGAATACAGATACTGTATAAACATTTTGATGGGTCCCAATAATTTAGGTGTTTTATTGAGGGGATTCAAGCAGTAAAAGTTCTTTGTATGCTCTCCAGCCTAGCAATTTTTCCAGTTTTTAATGGGGCTGTTTTTGTGCAACAGTATTTTATCCTTGAATGCACTAGTGTCTTAAAGAGTATCATTACTGGTAGGACAACAAGTAAGGTTCTTGATATCCAACTGCGACGGGGTCGGTTTTCTCTTCCCTTTCCTCACGTTTGTTCAGACTGCTGACTTCACTGTTTCTTTTAATCTAATCTTCTTGTTCTCGTTTAAGTATTTAATAATTATTGCATCTATATCTCTTACCATATGACTCTTGTCACTTCACCTCCCACTTCCACACCCAGATTGTTTTCATCTCATACCATGGTCTTTCTTACCAAATCCCCCTTATTTTGTGCTGACTATCATCTCTTCTATCCTCCCTCCATATTGATACCTTAGAGGGGATTTTTTAGGTCCCCTCCAATGCAGTTTCCATGTTCTTTTGTCTTATATGTATGTATGCCTTGGGTCCGAGACAAAATAAATACAGTAATTGGGTGTGTCAAGATAAGTGGTGTCATCCAGAAAATCTAAAGGAAAAATTGACCATTTGATGGACAAAATCCTCCATTATTTTATGTTGTACTAATGAATACAGCCCATGCTCCTCTTCGAATAGTACAGTGCTGTACTTATAATAACAATGTGGCCCATCGTACATATATTGATGTAACGGACAATTAGAAAGTAGAATTTAGTAGTGAATTTGGACAAACTGGAAGAGGTTTAACCTTTTCCGATTTGGTAACCTAACTATCCTAGGCCTAATACACACTATCTGAGGCCTAATATAGTGCATATATGTGCTATACTATGCCTAGGAATATTTAATTTTGTTTTTTGGCTTTATTTTTCCAAATTCTGTAAAGTGTATAGTACCAATTTCTACTATCCAATTGTCCATTATGTTAATATACAGTACTGTATGTATGATGGTGCACATAGTTTCAAAAAGTACTATCTAAACACGAGGATGGGTTGAGTGAATAGAAGTTGTGGATGTTGGTGTTACATCATTGTGTGGGTGTTGAAAAGTGAAAGTGTGGGTGTCCGGAGTGGGTGTTGAGAGTCGGGTGTGAGTGCGTGTGGAGTAAGTGCGTTGGTGTGTGGAGTTGGGGTGGGTCTTTGAATGTGGGTGTGGGGAATATGGTTATGGGCATTGGCATATGAGTATTCACATGAAGGTATGGGTATTGGCATGATGGGTGTGGGTATTGGCGTGTGGGTGTGGGTATTGGCATGTGGGTGTGGGTATTGGCATGTGGGTGCTTGCATATTTACTCATCTAGTTGTACTAGCCTAATTGTACTTGTGGGGGTTGAGCTTTGGCTCTTTGGTCCTGCCTCTCAACTGTCAATCAACTGGTGTACAGAGTCCTGAGCCTACTGGGCACTATCATATCTACATTTGAAACTGTGTATGGAGTCTGCTTCCACCACATCACTTCCTAGTGCATTCCATTTGTTAACTACTGACACTGAAAAAATTCTTCCTAATGTTTTTGTGGCTCATTTGGGTACTAAGTTTCCACCAGTGTCCTTGTTCGTGTTCCACCCATGCTAAAGAGTTTGTCTTTGTCCACCCTGTCAATTTCCCTCAGAATTTTGTAGGTGGTTATCATGTCTTCCTTTACTGTCTTCCAGGAATGTGAGTTTCAGCTCCTTTAGCCTTTCCTTGTAGCTTATACCTCTCAGTTCCGGGACGAGTCTGGTGACATACCGCTGAATCTTCTCTAACTTTGTCTTGTGTTTAATTAGTTATGGACTCCAAGCTGGAGCTGCATATTCCAGGATTGATCTGACATAAGTTGTATACAGGGTCCTGATCGATTCCTTACATAAGTTTCTAAATGCAGTTCTTATGTTGGCCAGTCTAACATATGCCACTGATGATATCCTTTTGATGTGGGCTTCTGGGAACAGGTTCGGTGTGATATCAACCCCCAGATCTTTCTCTCTATTTGAATCTTGCAGGATTTCACCTCCCAGATGGTACCTTGTGTTCAGCCTTTTGCTCCCTTTGCCTAATTTCATTACTTTGCACTTTCCTGAGTTGAACTTTAGTAGCCATTTTCTAGACCATTCCTCCAGCTTGTCCAGGTCATCCTTTAGTCTTTGACTATCTTCATGTCTTGATTCTTCTCATAATTTTTGCATCATCAGCAAAAATGGAGAGGAATGAGTCTATACCTTCTGGACTATCGTTTACATATACAGTATTAGAAACAGGATGGGTCCAAGTACCTAGCCCTGTGGGACTCTGCTGGTGACATCTCGTCACTCTGATGTCTCCCCCTCACAGTTACTCACTGTTTCCTACCACTTAGATACTCCCTTATCCACCATGTGTGTCAGGGCATGGGTATAGGCATGTAGGGAGTGTGAGGGAGCATTGTTACTGGGTGGGTCTTACACCTGCTCTCAAACCATATATGTGTACACTGATGGTTCTGTACACCGTCCTACAGGTGCAGCTGGAAGTGCAAATGTCTTAACAATGGGTGATGGCTTATATTTTAAGTGGGGAGTCTGTATAATCAACAGGGCCTCTACCCTTCAGACTGAATTATTTGCCTTACTTCTTGCTCCGAAATGTGTACAAGTCTTCAAACTTTATATAGTACATTAATTGTAAGTGATTCTCTTATCATCTGGGGAATAGGGAAAGAGAGATAAGAGATTGGGAGAGAGGGGGAAGTGGGAAAGGGGGTAGAGACACGCAACACAGGTGGAGAGGGAAGATTGGGAGTGAGAGTAGGATAGGGGCAGTTAGTGGGAGAAAGGGAGAGGGGGGGGGATGCTGAGGGAGACTGGGTGGGGGGGTGCTGAGGAAGACTGGTGGGTAGCAAGGTGGAGAAGGGGGAGAGAGAGGAGATGGGGATAAAGTTGAAAGGGGAAGATGGGAAGAGAGAAGGGATAGGGAAAGGGAGATGAGAGAGGGGAGAGTGGGGAAGGAGGGAAAGAGACCTGGGAGCAGCCACGTACCCTCCTTAGTATGAGTGTAATTATAATGGAATTTTATACCATGACAATAACCACAGTAAGCAATCATGAAACAGTAACAGGATTTTTATCACAGGTCAAGGCAAATTCCACTACAGTACATCCATATATATATAGCTATTATATCCATATTAGCATCATTGCACAAAGAAATATCATGGTGCAGTGGTCTAAGGCTTTTGCATAGGTCAAGGGCTAACCCAGAGCATAGGTTCGAATCCTCCCCATGGCTCAACTGATTTTCTCATTAGCATCATTAGTATAAAACCCAGACAATGATAGTTTATATCAACATGTGATGATAACCACATTACCCCATGAATTGACACATGATAACTGTATTTTATTGGTTAAGGTTAGCAGGAATGTGGTCTACCTTCGGGCCATGAGTTGCGGAAATTTGCGGCTTTGTGCACTGTTTGCCATCCTGAGTTGACATTCGAACTCGGGAGTTTTGTATAGGCATGCCTATACCTATACATGCCTATACCCCATCTTGTTAATGTGCCAGGGTAGTGCCAGGCTTGTGTGGCATAGGGTAGGGTTATCCATCACCGATGGTTCCTCCTTCTAGGGTGTTTGGCTTCTACTCTGCTGTTTTGTTTACTCTCTTGCAATGTACACCACAATGTGGGACCTTTAATTAGCTGAGCTATTTAGGAGTTAGGTAGCAGCAAAAGAATTAAATGATGCAGAAAAGTCTCTCCTGGCCCTTGCATGGGCCCAATTAGCTTTCTGCAGTTCCTCTTATTCTTATGTTCTTATATTCTGAAATACCCCATATGCTATATATTTTTATTTATTTATTATTTTGTTTGCAGGTGCCGGCCTGGGGGGTCAGGTGTGGCGGGCAGTGGGACCAATGGGGAAGTGTCTGTCTTGTTTAAAGGTCCCTCCACCCGCCCACCAGCACAGCATATCACACCATCCAACACTACAACACCCTCCTCCCCGGCACGAATATGAACGGACAAGAGGTAATAGATTGTGTTTGAATTCGTATAAATATGGAATAACGTTTGTTTAAGACACACCTAAATTTAAAAAACTAGCATTGAATGTATTGAAATGACTCTTTCTGGTTAGGTCCCTTGGTATCTTCCTGAACCCTTGGTATCTGGAACATTCCAAACCTTGGGTACCATTTCAGGTTCTGGTGACTCATGAGTGTTTACTGGAGACCAAGACCAGAATCTTATATCTTCAGTAGAGGCATAGAAGGATCAGGGTATGCAAGATCACCACATTACCAAAAGAAAGACCGTTTTTCTCTCCTTGCCTTGGTTTACTGTTCCCCTTCGGCTTGTGATGTTTTTCTTAAGGCTATCTTTTTGTTGGTTGTTGCCTCCAGCTGTATGGTTGGGGAGCTTCGGGCACTTTTACAGAGGCAAAGACTATTTTTTTGGCCCTGGTGTAGTTTGTTTATTTGCAGCCTTCTTGTTTTTTTATGCTTTGGTTGTGGTGCATCATTTGTGTACAATAATGGCCCTTCACTGCTACCTATGTGTCACCGGTTCTGCTTCGGTGGACGGTTTGTTGGATAGCCCCAGTTCCTTGGTTTCCCTCACATTTCTCGGGTTGTCGGCAGTGTCTTTAAATCTAGCTAGCCTGCTGTCTACCCTTGGGCCAATGATGTTTGCAAATACATGGCTTTGGCTGCCATCTTCCCTAACATGTCTTAAGCTGAAATTTGGGCTCAGGGGTTTTGGTATTTAAACAGGGTTCTGGCAGCTCAGTAATTATTCAATATCCATGGTCTCAGTCTGTCATGTGTTGCCATGATCTCCCAGCCTGATTTCTTTTCTTTATCATAGTGTCTGCTGCCTCTTCTTCCTTGTTAAGTCCCATTTTTCTTTGCAGTTAGCTTCAGTGAGCCACCAAAGTGGGGGAAGAGGCTTCTCTCCCTCAGAAACTCGGTGTTGAATGTAATGAAATGTGTCCTTCTGGAGGAGCCCTGGTGGCTGTCTGATTTCCCCCCCTCCCTTCCAGGTTTATCGGTTTGTTGTAAGTTGTTCATCAGCTTCAGAACTGAGGTAGTGAGGCAACTAAGGGCTAGGGCCTGGCCACTTGGTGGTAATCGGTACTAATGAGTTTCAAGGTAGTTTGAATGAATTCCTTTTTCTGCTTGAATTGTTTGTGGAGTTGTTTGGCAGTTTCGAGGCTTCCTTTTTTTGTGAACCCTTCAGTTGTCTGTAAAGCTATGTAGACTTCCTATTGTTTTTTTCTGGTGGGGTGGCAGATTGTCAACCTCTCCCTGTGTGTCTGTGAGAGAGGCCAAGTTCTAGCTCTGGTCCCTAGCAGGCCAAATAGAACTTTTGTAACTGATGTCGCCCTTTTAATATGTAGCAATCTCAGCAAGATAGCTTCAGGGAGCTACTGGGGCTTCTCCAGAAAAGAGGTGTTTCATTACATTCTGGACTTCATTCTTAATTTTGGTCTTATTTCCTATTTCTTGCCTTTCCCTTGTCTGTCTGGTATGGTTTCGATGTACCTTTGAAATAACACCCCCCTTCCACATCAGCACCGGAAACAGTTGAACCATTGTTTCCTGCCAGGGATCCATAGCTTTCTGTTTTTCTGGCAGGTTTCCTTTCTAATCAGGTACCTGGTAGAACTCAACTCTGCCCTGGGGTCCCTGGGGTCTTCATAGAGAGCTTATGGTGCTGGGGAGGAACCCCATAAGTACACACAGAGCCTCCTTAGGTGGCTCCCTGGGTGTCCATCAACCTGTCCTGCCCATAAGGCTTGTTTGTCTCAAGTCATTCAGAGTGTCATTAATCTTCCCAGCCTGTGGTGTACCTTCAGATCCATATGTTTAGAAGTTTGTGGCATTGACTGCTGTCTTTTTCTAATGTCTTTGACTGATATGCTGGCTCAGGGGTTTTGGAGGTCTATCGGGCTCTTGGCAGTTTGTTATCTAGTTAGTGTCTCTGGTCCCTGTCGAGTTTGTGCTGCCTGGATAGAGTTTCCTGTCTTGGTCTCTCCTTTTCGAATGTTTGGTCTTTTTTCTCGTCCTCCCTAGTGAGTCCTAATTTCCCTCTTTCCTGTGGTTAGTTAGCTACAGGGAGCCACAAAGGCTGCCCCCCCCCCCTTCCTGCAAGAAAGAGGTGTTTAATTTCATTCAATGCTCTTTTTGTGTATATTAAAAAAATTGTGGATGCTGTAGTAACTTCCTTTTTCTTATCCAGAAGTAAGTGAAAGTGGCAGCAGTCTCAGTGGTGTGGAGGGTCGGTCTCCAATACCACCACCTGATGCACAGAGTAATGGCAGTGGAAAAAATTCTGTAATTATCAGTTGTTCAGAAAAGCGTTCATTTTACTCCCGAATTCCACCACTTGCAAAGTCTGCCAGCAATGAAGTCAGAAGATTATCATCTAAAGACTATTCTGAAACAAAGATTTTATTATTATTTGATCAGTACAAGGACAGCCAGTGTGACTATATTCTGTCAGAAGGCATTGAACATCTCTGTATGGATTTGGATGTAAAACCTGAAGAGTTTAAAGTGTTAGTTTTGGCATGGAAATTTGGGGCTGAGACTATGTGCAGGTTTAGTAGAGGTGAGTTTGTGAATGGGTGTAAAGCCCTCAGAGTGGATTCTATAAAAGGTATACAGTCCAAATTTTCAGATATGTTACTTGAGGTTCAGGACCCGGAAAAATTTAAAGACCTATATAGATTCACTTTTAAGTTTGGCCTGGATGCTGATGCCAGCCAACGAATCCTACCGTCCGACATGGCATTGCTGCTATGGAAACTTGTTTTTTCACAGCGTGAGCCTTCAATTTTGAAGAGATGGTTGACGTTTCTTGAAAGACATCCAAACATTCGGGGTATCCCCAGAGACACCTGGAATATGTTCCTAAATTTTACAGAAGCTGTAGGTGATGATTTAAGCTCCTATGATGATACAGAGGCTTGGCCTAGCCTTTTTGATGACTTTGTTGAGTATGAAAATGATGAGTTGAACCAAAATATAACCAAGGATCATAAAGAAGAAAGTGAATAATATTATGTAAGTGCTAGGAGGGAATAGTTCATATGTGAATATGTTGTAAGTTATATTTTTTCAGAAGGTATGACTGAATTTGGTATTGTTCTCTTTCTACAAGTGCTAATGCTAAAAACTTTAGAAAATTCTGTTCCATCTCTACTGTGGCCATAGGTATTATGTATATATGAATGCTATGGGTTACTTAATACTGTACGGTATTATGAATGACATCTTGTATTAGCAAGTTGATAAAAGATAATCTTAAGATAAAAGATAAACAATAGATGTGCAATCATCCATTGCATGTTTGTGACACATTTTGGCATGTGTGTCGCTGGTAAAGTGTATGAATGCAGTTGATTTTACTGTCATAGTGAGAGAAGAAGCATTTCTCTTGTGGGTCACCTGAGGTTTTTCTTTATATTGTACTTTATTTTCTTGTAAAGTAAACAAATTTATCTTAGTGATGTTAAATTTGACAAGCTTTAAAGGATTGTGGCCATAGTTGTTATTATTTGCTTCATAAATGATGCTTTCATAAAATAGAAAATTCTAAATTTAAATGTCTTTATCGGCTGTAAAGTTTTGGGAAATTATATTGCTTATAATGTGTTTACAATAAAAAAAAATGTTTGAAGGTACGGTACATGATCACTTGGACGTTTATTATTATTTTATGATATATTTCACGTTGCATATATTTTATCCAACAGCTGACTTTAGAGAGTGGAGAAAAGGTTGACTGTTTAGTCTTGGGTCAAGTAATGCACTCATATTATAGATTAGCATAGCCATACCTGCAGGGTACAGTCATAAGAGAATTGAAATTTGGATCTGAATTACACTAGAAGAAGAAAAATGCTAATTTGACTGGCATGCAGTAAATATATTTGTAAATGGTTTGCAATAACCGCTGTGTTATGACAGCCAAGCCACAAAATTATTGATTCTCAGGTCTCCTATTCATTAAGTTTGTGATGTAATTTAAGAAATCCTTAGTTTTTTTATTGAATAATAGGCAGGTGGAAATTGTACTTAAATATATATCTTTAATTGATGTTCCTTTACAGGTGGAGTTATTCTGATATTTTTATTTTATATCCAGGTGCTTCAGTTACTGTACAGTAATAGAAGGGACTGCAAAGTTTTAATTTATTTCTTCATTCTTTTCTAGATAATCCTTTATACATGAATTCGAGATTTCAATAGTCCACACATGCTTCTTTGCTGTCAATTACCTCATCCTTGATTCTCCTCCACAACTCTCCCATCGCATCTGATCACACACCCTTTATAGTAAGTACGTTCACATTAACTGCTGAAGGCTAGCCTCAAGCATTGTACAGACATACATGCAAATAACATATAATATATATATATATATATATATATATATATATATATATATATATATATATATATATATATATATATATATATATATATATATATATATATATATATATATATATATATATATATATATATATATATATATATATATATATATATATATATATATATATATATATATATATATATATATATATATATATATATATATATATATATATATATATATATATATATATATATATATATATATATATATATATATATATATATATATATATATATATATATATATATATATATATATATATATATATATATATATATATATATATATATATATATATATATATATATATATATATATATATATATATATATATATATATATATATATATATATATATATATATATATATACAGTATATATATATATATATATATGTCGTACCTAGTAGCCAGAACGCACTTTTTGGCCTACTATGCAAGGCCCGATTTGCCTAATAAGCCAAGTTTTCCTGAATTAATATATTTTCTCTAATTTTTTTCTTATGAAATGATAAAGCTATCCATTTCATTATGTATGAGGTCAATTTTTTGTTATTGGAATTAAAATTAACGTAGATATATGACCGAACCTAACCAACCCTACCTAACCTAACCTAACCTATCTTTATAGGTTAGGTTTGGTTAGGTAGTCGAAAAAGTTAGGTTAGGTTAGGTTAGGTAGGTTAGGTAGTCGAAAAACAATTAATTCATGAAAACTTGGCTTATTAGGCAAATCGGGCCTTGCATAGTAGGCTGAGAAGTGCGTTCTGGCTACTAGGTACGACATATATATATATATATATATATTATATGCTTTATTATGTATTTAATGGTTACAAGATATACACGGGTTGATACAAAAAGTGCTTAAAGGTTATGGATCTCTTGAAAAACACGGCACTGGAAAACATTGATGAATGTCACAGACAGGTTCGATCATTGTTGCAAGTCAAACACTTCTTCGAATTCCTCCGAAGTTGGACTAGTGCCCAAGACGCAACAGGCATTTCTCCTCTGAATTGCAACACTGAGGCGCTGGAACATGAAACTTTTTGCTCTCTGGTCTTTTGTAGCGCTGATCAATTTGTCCCCCAATTCCTTCAGGAGCTTCAATGCGCATTTTCCCCACGAACCGAGTATGTATGTATGTATGTATGTATGTATGTATGTATGTATGTATGTATGTATGTATATATATATATATATATATATATATATATATATATATATATATATATATATATATATATATATATATATATATATATATATATATATGTAATATTTATATAACATATATTTATACATATAATTCTGTTGAACACTACTGTTGACACATCATTGCAACATTTCAGCACAAAAACTAAATAAACAAAGTGAGATTGAAAATAAATTGACAATGTTATTCCCATACAGCATCTCGCCTAATTTACCCAAAATCTCAAATTCTCCGAGCCACTACAGATTAACCACTATAGATAGAGACTTTTTACATGAATTTATGTGCTTCCTGGATGCTGATTAACAATGTAAAAAGAAAAAAATAATGTTTTAAAGAAAAAATTTGTGTGCGTGTCAAAAATGGTTATCTTGAGGTTATCTTGAGATGATTTCAGGGCTTAGCGTCCCCGCAGCCCGGTCCTTGACCAGGCCTCCTTTTTGTTACACACCCCCAGGAAGCAGCCCATAGCAGCTGTCTAACTCCCAGGTACCTATTTACTGCTAGGTGAACAGGGGCATCAAGGTGAAAGAAACTCTGCCCATTTATTTCTGCCTCCTCTGGGGATCGAACCCGGAACCTTAGGACTACAAATCCCAAGAGCTGTCAGGCCCCAGGTAGGTAGAGAAATAGCATGCACGGTTTAAGGATTATATAAGTAATTGGGATTAGGATTAAAAAAACGTTCATCAATAAACTAAAAAAAGGTGCAAAAACAGCCTACAAAATGGCTTCTGGAACTAAAACACAATCTTTATGGAAAGGCTGGTGGTGTGAAATATGCAAAAGCTAGAAGATAGAAGGAAAAAGAGATGATATGAACACAACATATAAAATAGAAATAGGAGTTAATGAAATACTTGGAGGAATTTTTGAAACCTGCAACTTCAAGACCAAGAGGCTGTAGTATATTCAAGCTAAGGAAACAAAGGTGCCAAAAAACTAAAATTCTCTTTTGTGAACAGAGTTGTAGAAAGTTGAGAGTTAAATGAGAAAGCAGTCAACACCAAAACCATCAGTAGCTGTAAAACATGTTGACCAAACCACACACTAGAAATTGAAGAGACGACGACGTTTCGGTCCATCCTGGACCATTATTAAGTTGATTGTGTCCAGGATGGACTGAAACGTCGTCGTCTTTTCAATTTCTAGTGTGTGGTTTGGTCAACATTTTTCAGCTACATTATTGTGACTTCATCTGCTGTAAAATATCATATGACAAAGATTATTTGAAAGGCCAGACACCATGAACATAGCTTTCATCCTGTAACTATACTTGGGGTAAATACATACACTGACACATACGTATGTACATTTCATGTGTGTATTCAGAGAAAGTGGAAGAATGTTATTTATCTACTTATTTTTCAGTATACAGTATTGTAGTGATTAGAAGAAAGTATTCTGAGAGAAGCAGTTATTCTGATCTTAGGTATATTTAGATGATTGTTTAAGAGCAGAGATTGGCGTTGGTTGAGTTCTGCGAGTTGCAGCTAACTAAAGTCATTGCTAAAATTATCAAATTCCGGTCTTAGTTTAAGCATTATACAGTATTTTTTTTTAGTGGTAATGTATGAATAAGGAATTAGAACATTGCACAAATTAAAAAATCCTCAGAAGTAATATATTCAGTAACTGCAGAGGCAGCCTACAAACTTGTAACAGAGAACTTAAAAAAAAAATTTAGTTGCCTTATATAGAGTTTAGCAGGAGCATTGTTTATACTATATTCAGTTTTGTTCTCAAATTAATTAAAATTTGTTCATCACATTAATGTTGGGAAATATTTCATAAATTTGCACAAATATTGCAGTTCAGAAAAATAGAGCTGAGAATATAAATTAGCTTATTCATCTACTGTTATTAAATCTGTAAAGCCTTGTACATATTCCCATTATTTTTGATCTTAGTAGTCTCCTGTCCAAAAATTAAAGATTGGAAGTTATATTTTATAATTTAATTTTTAAGTAACAAAAATTTGAAATATGCATGGACAGCTAGAAGAAATAATTATATAAGAAAAAGGTAAAAACTATTAAACTAGGGAAAACTGAAATTGTTGAAAATGAAATGTGATGTATTGGCAAGTGTATTTTAGGTGCATTTTCAGTTTGATCAGGAGCTCTGGTCCTCTCTGTCGTAAGATTATGCAGCTTCTTAACCCCTGCACTGCGAAAAGCAAGATATCTAGGTTCACAGGTGGTGCGGCCACTGAGAAAACTTGCTTTTAGGTATAAGGAATAATTTGAAACTCCTATGGGTACATAGGGGCTCACATCTTGTTCCTCAGGACTCTGTGAACAAATGCCATCTTTAAAAAAAATTGTCTGCACTGCCTTCTGGCTGGCATCCCTCAGTACTGCCATAGCAACCAAGGTTGGCACATGCAGCAGGAGCTCACAGCACAGCTGTGCTTGTTGGGGCCACAACACCACTTAATAATGACGAATAAAATAAGTGCAATTATTTTACGATGATAGTGTCATGGATGATCCTGACTAATAAAAACTATGTACAAGATTCAGATATCAGTGAACACAATTCTAGTTATGATGTTCACAGCAGGAAGCAGACATTCACAGCACTCAGCTGAGATTTCTTGCAGCTAATTTTTTTTTTATACTGTATACAGTATACTGTACAAGAGTTCTTACATTCTTGTAAATGCACTAGCAATCATAGCATGTCGGGCAGGTCCTTAATCCTAATTTTCCATGGAATACGACCTGCCAGATCATTTAACAACCAGGTACCCTTTCACTGCTGGGTGAACAGAAGCATACAATTAAGGATTGGCGCCTAGTCAATTCTTCTCGGCCAGGATACGAACTCAGGCCAAATTGCTCGCAAAGTGCGGGATGAGTGTCTTACCACCGATCCACAGGAACTGCAAAGCATCATGCAAAGTGATCTCATGTTCCTTTAGAAAATAATCTTATGGAAAATGATTCGTATTCATGATTTACGGATGAGAATCTGATGATAATAGCAGTGTTGTGGCTAGATTTAGTGATGTATTTTGCTGCGTCATATGTCGTTGTCTGCTGGCACTGTCTGGTTATAGCGTGTGGCTCTGTACTGTGCTAAGATTTCATTACCACACCCACCAGAATTACTAAGTTTTTCATGATGGTTTATAAAAATATAGATAGCTATATATGATGTGTATATAGTGTAATAACAGCAAAAACACTTGCATTGTTCTAAGAATATAATATATGCCACTAAAAAGTGCCCCATATTTTTTTAGCATAGTGATATTCCACATATTTAATTTTATAAATTTCTCAAATTGCACACTTTTAAATAATATTACTGTAAAAACCTAGAGAGAAAACATTTAGAAATATTGAAATAATTATTTTAAAACATATTTGCTGCAACTCCTGCCTCACAGAGAAGCCAGGGCAAGTGCCACGGGGCGACTAATCACTGAACACTCATGAATTGTGAAACTACTTCTCTCGAACCAGTAGTGGTTCCCGGGTTTCCTGTTCCGTGCGGGCTCCTCTGTTCAGCTAAATGGTTTTGGCGTTTTCCTTTCCTGTTTTGGTGTAGCATGAGCCAGGCTTGTAGAGTGCTTAGAGCTGCAGTTACCTTCTCTGTGTGCTCCTTATTGCTGCCCTTGCATTGCCAGAGTTGTCTTCTCTGGTGTGTTCAGGAGTTGCACCCTTAG